GGGATGTGTCCTTGGTGCATCCAATCAGGAAGCAGACAATGTAGGTCTGCCATCCCGACAAGGTTAGCTTGGATCGCTAGACTGCCACGTCTTTCCACTGTGAAGCTACCATGTTTCCCTCTGTAATTAATATGTGATTTTGGTGGAGAGACTTTGAGAATATGTAAGTATCCTCTTTCTCATCAAATATTCACCCGCTAATTTTAATATCTGTTCCATCAATAATTACCGTGATAGCTGCCAAATGGTGATTTCTAATTCTACGATTTCTTCTACACTTTATTATTGGTCTCTTTTCTAATATAAAGAAGGGCTTTCGCCTCTGCTCCATTTATTTAATTTAATCATTTACTAATGTCAGTATGGGTTCATGGATTCTAATTTTAGTCAACTATCATACTCCATTACTTTCGTTCTTTGTTGTGATGCTCAAATCATTTGGCCAGCTGATTGAAGCTGACTCCGGGTTCCTTTTTGTCACATGCCCATCATTCTTAGATTACTTCCTTACTTTCTGACACATGTTGTTTCAGGCTCATCTTTACTTTCCTGCCCCCAGTCTTGAGTTTCTCCATGGGGCTTTGATTCCTTTTCATGGAGAATGGCATTCAGAAGCCAAGATCAGGACACTAGGGATGCTCACTGCTACCATGACGTCCTATGTCATTGCGTCTAGACCTTAGCAGACTTTGGTAAACAGACACACATACATACATATATATTAATTTCTGTATCTACCTACCTATGTTTCAAAACATGAGTTGATGTTGATAAATCTTTACCATTTTTTAGGGTTCAGGTCAAATGTCATTTCTCCCCTTAAGTATGTCTAGATGCCCTCAGTTGTTAACTGTTCTCTGTTTTGACAGCACTTTGTCATCTCCCCTCAAAATGGGGTATCTTTCCCCACTGGTTTATAAACTCCCTGGGGGCAGGAATCAGTCAGTCATCCTTGTCTACTTCACAGAACCCTGGATACAGTGGATAACTAACATGTACAGTGAACTGAACAGAATTTTCATGAAAGGCAAGTGACAGACTTGTATGACATCCAGAGTAAAACAAAACATGCAAACTTTCCCTTTCTAAATATGTTGGCATGTTCTTTGTACCTAAGGGAGTATATCAGTTAAGGCATCTCTGGTTTTTTTTTTTCCTTGTACCACATCTCTTCCATTAAAATAAACAAAAGTATCTTTTTATTAGGAACTGTACCTTCCTAGACTATACCTTCCCCTAAAACTAGTTTCCTTTATTGTGCGCCTTTATATTTATTTGTAGGGAATTTTATAAAAACCTTTCTCTATTATCTCAAGCAAGGGATGAGGAGTTTAACTTACCTACTATATTCCTAGAAATTCATTTTTACTTCACTCATTCCTTTAAGAATGCTTTTATAAGTTAAATTTCACAATAGCACTCTCATCCTGAAAGACTATAATATGCTCAATCAACTTTTACATTTTTATACGAGCTATTGATTAATGTCACACACTGTATTCTCACTTGAAAGAAGCTGTAATTTTTAGGCCATTTAAATATACTTGAATAAGTGAATATAGATTTTCCCTTTAATTTAGGTTCCATGGATCTGGAAACCTCAGAGTCTAATAGTAGGCTTGATCCCTTCTTTCAGGGCTTAAGAGGAACAAGTCAAAGCATCAATTATGCACTTAAAATATTTCCTTTGTAGTCACAGGGGGAAAACGGCAGCCATGTTTGCCTGTATGATTCAAGTTATTTTTCTAAATAATACCTAACGGCCAACACAGAAAACAGTTATGTGAAATGGTGAGTAAATGGGAATTTAGAGACATACACACTAAAATCCTAAAGCACCCTGTGTGACAGCAGGAAGCTGTCCCCACGCAGGCACTCGGCTCTTACCGTAAGTGTGGCTGTGTTCTCGTCATCCGACCACTGCATGGAGAAAAGGACAGAGACAAAACATTAAATGTGGACAGTGCACTGGACTTCCAGAAGGTAGTGCACAAATCTAGAAATGATGCAGAAACAGGTGACATCTTCTCCTGAACACAAAATATATATAAATAAAATGTAAGTCAAAGTGAGATTTTCATGTAATTTCTCACTTTATTGAATATATACTAAGATCTAAATGTCAGAACCATTTCCNTTAGCTGAGCCATCCTGCCACCTGTTGGCAGCTCAGCTCAGGCTGGGACTCGAACCGCTGTTGCCCAGAGCTCGCACTCTATTGGTTGATTTTTAAATGCATATTTTCTATAAGCAAGTAACCAAAACATTCTAAGTATCATTTCAACCAAGAAGGAAATAGAAATACAGTTGTGAAGAAACTTAAAAGTGATCAATATTATGCTCTGCCTCGAGCCTGCCATTATGAATGGAGCAAACAGACATAAGGTAGAGAAGAGGGGAATAAGAGACGTGAAGTGGAGTCTGCAGGAGAGAACACAAAAGTGTTAAGTCACTACAGTCACATTATCCCTTTGTACTTGCTGCCCCCTGCAGGAATGCTGCAAATTCTGAAAAAGCCCACCAATGACAAGTTCTTCCATGGGTGGGCGGGGGTTAGAATACATCTAGGATTAGCTAAACTACACAACGCAAAAATAAATCAAATGGCACATGCTAATCCCCAACGTCTAACCCAATTATGACAGAGAAAACTGTGCCAAGAATCTGGGAAACGGACCAAAAAAAGGTTAAATTTTAAAAAATGGTAACATAGTCCCCAAACTAGAAAGCAGGTTTAAGCAATTGGTTAGTGAGTAAAGACCGGAGATCAAGGGCAGGTCAGACGACCACTCCTTTTGCTATGGATGTGCATACTCTCTAGACTGTTACAGCATCTTTTAGTTGTTTGACTGGCCTGTCACTGTACTTACCTTCTGTCTGACTTCCTCAGCTTAAACATATGAAATTAAACTCCAGCAATTTAGAGTAACAGACTTTGAGTCCTTTATTTTCTATTTGCCTCTCCCCATCAAAAGGAATTATGATTTATGCTAAGCCATAATTGTAATTTCCTTATAATCCCCAAAGTTGCTGATTTAGCTCCTCTAGAACTCTACCTACAAAAATTCTTATCTAAGATCTGCATTAGCAGTAATTTTGATAAAATGGCAGTTATACAAATTTTACATGAAGGGATTCAATCTTCAAAGATAAAACAATTTAATTTTCTTATCCTATAAAACTTCACATATAAGGACTGCATTAAATTTATTACATTTTTAAAAGAGGTGATTGGTTCCCTAAACCCTCAAATTATTCAACGTTAAGAAATCCTCCCATAAGGACTCTAAACTAATTGCAAAAAGTTTATGCATTCTAGAGAAAAATCTGTGATTCAGTGGAAGACTAATGTCTACATACAGCCCTCCCTCCTGAGTTATCTGATTCTAGCTGGGTCTGCAGCTACAATATTTTACAACTTGGTAAAACTGCAGGTAAGCATAACAATGAAAAGTTCTTTCTATGGTATGGCGGGCCAGCCGCCACAAGTCGATCAGTACCCGAAGGGGGGAGTGGGAATGAATAAAGAGACACTCACACAAATGCTGAT